GGGATGGGAACAAATATAGATCTCTTCCAATCAGTTGGCCAAGTGGTTGTTCTCCAGATTTCTTGGCACAACTTGGTGAGCACATCCAGGGCAATATCTGTTAGCTGAAATATGTCAATTGGTATACCATCTATTCTGGGGGCCTTATTTTTTGCTGTTTCTTTCAAAGCAGCTTGAAGATCAGGACTTGATCAGGTACACCTTAGTTTCTAAACTGACATGATTGCTTCTTAGTACTTTGGAGAGGTCCCTGACAGCAGATTTTCTCGGGACAACAAGTTTTTTTGATATCTTGACTGCTGGTAGTGACTATCAATTCTAGTGTGAAGACAGTTCTTTGCTCTGCAGTATGTAGCATTAACAATATCATTGATTTCACCTTAACTTAGGGAGCCCAAGTCAGGCAACAAGTCAAGCTCTAGGCTGTGAAGGAAAAGGCAGGCAGTTTTAACCCACCACACGGGGAAAGGCCTCGCCAACTGCTCCTGTAAAGATTACACCCTAGGAAACCCTATGGGCAGTTCTACTCCGTCACATGGGGCCACTAAGAGTCAGAATCAACTTGACAGCAAACCATTAAGGAGATACAGGTTAAGGTGCTCTAGTGGTTCAAACCCACCCAGCGTCTCTGTTAAAAAAAAAAATAAATCTAGCAATCTGCTTCCATAAAGGCTACAGCCTGAGAACCCTTGAGGGCAGTTCTACTCTATCACCTGGGGTTTCCAGAACTTGGAGTCAACACCACAGCACCCAGCATCACAATCACCACCTAAAGTAAACACAGTGAGCAAACATGATCCGGAAAGCTTGCCCTCGAGAAAAAGTCTCACACAGAAGGTAAAGAGTAGAGAGCTAAACAAAGGTAGCTTGGGATAGAGTCTCAGACAGGGATGCATCCAGGAGAAACAGGTACATGCCAGGGCCGAGCCAGACTCTGTTTTGGTTTTGTTTGAAGGTCAGAAGGAACATCTGGCTATTTTGTAATTTCTGCCTCTTGTTGAGGGTCAACTAGACGTGCTAGAGGCATCTGCCCAGGTTCTCACACGGCCCCTAACATTTCACTCCACACTCTGCTTCCTTCAGCTCTTCTGTTTTCTCATCTTCATTACCCTTAAGAACATTTCACAGGTGATGGGAGAGCTATTTCATAAACGCTTGTGAAAATAAAATGGAACACACTATTTCACCAAGCAACAGCTTAGACAATTTCTCTTTTTCAGGAAATACTGTCAGAATCAATTTATTACTTTTCTTAGAATTTCCCTGCAGTGCAGATGCCACTTCAAGCTATTAACCCTGGTTATACAGGAGCTCTTCATGTTGACATATATGCTAGACAGGTGGACCCTTTGAAATTTGCTGAAGAGTCAGCTACCTGTGGGTTTCCTAACAGCGCATAACAGTAAGGCTTTGTTTCCCCTAAGCATCTCATTCATCGTGTTACAAATCAAGACAATCAACAAGTGTGTTTTATTACTTGGGTTTTCGAAGTGGAGCATACCTGAAAGAAAAGAGTCAAAGAGGTGACTACAGAAAGAAAGGAAGCGACTTCATTCACGGAAGCCCAGGTGTTCCCCCATAGGCTCTACCTGTTTGATGAACTCGGGGAAGCTGAGGATGGGCCCGTTATGGAAAACAGGGTAGTAGAAGACATAGGCCAGTATCCAGGAGAAGGAGTAGGAGGCACGCTCGGCGGGCAGCTGCTGCCAGCAGGACTCAAGGCTGAAACTGGTGTAGTAGAGGCAGCGAACAGTCAGGGTGAACTGCAGCAAGTAGTACTCATTTTCTGTCTGGTACCACCTTCTCTGCAAAGTCAAAAGAAAGGATAACTCATGAGCGGCCAAGAAGGGCATCATTCAATCAACAAAACAAGTAGCAGCTACCACATCCACCTTCATCTAAGAAGCCCAGATGGTCCATGGGTATAACAGCCTCTTGCTCCCTTCATGGGAGACTTTTTGGTACTTTAATTATTTATTTGTCATTATATTGTATATTAACTGTTCTTTCCCAACTTAATCCACTTATTCTTTTTTGCTTTCACATCTCTCTCCCTTCCCTCTGGTAACCACCCAAATATAAATCTATCTGTATGTAAACTATTTCTTAGTGTTGGGTTTTTTTGGGGGTTTGTTTTGTTTTGTTTTTAATAGTAGTCTTATATGTGGCAAGAAGCTGTGCTGCAATCCTGAAGGCGCGTGGCTCGAGGCCACCAGCTGCTCCACAGGAGAAGAATGGGCAGTCTCCTCCCATGTGATTAACTGCCTCTGAAAACCTGCCAGAGAGGATCAGCTATGGGTCAGTTCCAACTCAACAGTAAAAACAACAAATATACCATAACTATCATTTTGTTACTGACTTATGTCACTCAAAATATGTTCTAGTTTCATCCATATTGTGAAATATTTCAGATTCTTGATAATTTTTCAGTGATCCGTAATACTCCAATGTGTGAATACAGCACAATCACTCAACATAGATTGTTCTCATTTCATCCATGTTCTACAGTACTTCACACATTCCTGATTTTTTTGGTGATGCATAATGCTCCACTGGGTGACTCTACTAAAGTTTCGTTAACTCTACATTCATTGGTGACTCTGAGTTGTTTCCAATTCTTTGTAAGTAGCTGCACTTACTGCAATCCCAAAGGCATGTGTAGAACGGAAGGAATGGGAACGATGACTTACTTTACAGCAAAACCACGATGCAGCAGGAGCCTGACTGCCTTCAGCAAGGAGCTGTTTGCCTTTGTTATGAAGCTAAAGTTCAACTGCCAATTCAAAAATTTATTTTGTAGACTTTGAAGGGGAGATTTCCATGATAGCGCCTCTGAGTTTCACCTATTCATCCCCTTATAAAATGTTCTTTATTATGTGCATATTGTTCTGTTGTAATTATTAGGACTACAACCACAAAGGAAGACATCCAGAGGGCCAACAGACACACAAAGAAATGTTCAAAATCGGAGAGATGCAAAACATAACAACAATGAGATTCCGTCTCACTGCAGTACCAGTAGCAAAGTTTAACAGGATAACAAGCAATAAATGTTGGGATGGATGCGAGGAGGTTAGAACTCTCACGCACTGCTGGTAGGATTATAAAATGGTACAACCATTCTGGAAGGCAGTTTGGTATTTCCTCAAAAAGCTGAACATAGAAATCTAATAAGATATAGTGATCATTCCAGCACTGCTAGGAATATACTATACCCCAAGGAAATTAGAACTGAGGCACACACCTATGTTAATAATACCACTGTTCTTCAAAATAGCAGGAATATGGAAACAACTCAAATGCCCATCAACAAACTAATCGATTGAGAAACTGTGATACATTCACATAATGGATAACAATTTTGTAAAATATTCTGTAACATGGAAGAGACTGGAGAGCATTAAGCTGAGTGAAAATAACTCAGTCTCATAAAGACAAATACTGCATAAGACCACTGTTGTAAAAGTAGAAGGATAACTAGTAAGATGTGTCTAAATGTCCAAAAAGGGGAAAGGAAAGGAGGAAGGGGACAGGAAAAGGTGCAAATCACTAGGACAGAAGAGTTTAGAGGGTAAATTGGAGGGAGAGTAAGGGAATAGGAAAGATTCAAAGGGACTTGAAAAGATGGTGTAGTAATAGGTATAGATCAATGGTAATTAGTTTTATGAGACATATAGGGTATAAGAATGTATGAAACACAATGTAAATTAATGCCACAATGTAAACAAATTATTGTATGAAAACCAATAAATTTTTTTAAAACAAAAATCCTTGCCGCTGGATCAACAGGCAACATCATGGTAGATGGAAAAAAGATTGAAATTGTCAATGATTTAATTATCCTTACAGCCACAATCAATACCCTGCAATCAATATCTGCAGTCAAGAAACAAAAAGATGTGTTTCGTTGGGAAAATCTGCTGAGCAAAGACTTATCCAAAGTGCTGAAAAGCAACAATGCTGTTTGCTAAAAATCACAGCCTTCTATAACTTGAGGCCAGATGGTAGCCCACTTACCAACACTAAATATTTTTATCAAAGTCACAATACATAGTCCTGATAGGAAAAAATATGTGGGATAGAACTTCAAGGTCAGAGGCTGGAAGAATCCTTGAAATGATTGTCCTAAGATATCCTAGAGAGTGAAGAAAAAACATATTTTGAAATCACCTTTGAACTAATTAACAGATTTGCACAAAAATAAAAGAATGCCATCCTTTTCATTGTTAGGTGCCACTGAGTTGAGAACCACTCATAGTGACCCTGTGAACAACAGACTTGAACCTTGACCTATCCTGTGCCATCTTTATTCTCTCTGATGTATCTGAGCCCATTTCCACAATCACTGTGTCATTTCATCTTGTTAACGGTCTTCTCTATTGCCGAACCTCCACCTTTCCATGTACGATGTCCCTTTTCAAGGGACAGCCCTCCTAATAGTATTGTCAAAGTTTATGAGACAACACTTTGCCATTCTTACCTTTAAGGGGTGCTCTGTCTGCACTTCCTCCAAGATACCTGTTTGTTCTTTTGACAATCCATGGGATATTCAGTACTCCAACACAACCCAAAGGCATAATTTTTCTGTCATTCATATTCACTGTCCAGATGTCAGATACACAGTAGGTGACTGAAAAGACCATGACCTGAATCAGGTACACCTTACTCTTCAAATTGACAGCATTGCTTCATAGTACTTTGGAAAGATCCTTGACAGCACAGTTTCCCAATGCAATACATCTCTTGATTTTTTGACTGCTGGTACCAAGTGTGTTGAATGTGGATCAAAGATTAAATCATTGACAATTTCAATTTTTCCCCATTTATTGTGATATAACCTATTAGTCCAGTGGTGAGGATTTTTGTCTTCTTGACGCTGAGATGTAATCTATGTTGAAGGCAGTAGTCTTTGATCTTCTGCAGCAAGTGTTTCAAATCCTTCCCACTTTCAGCAAACAAGGTTGTTTCATCGGCATAATGTAGGTTATTGATGAGTCTTCCTCAGATACTGATGTCACATTCTTCTTCATTGAGTCAAGTCTCGAAAGATTTGCTCAACAAGAAGCCTCAAGTCAACATAATCTCAAATATTTAAGTGGCTGTTAAAATTTCTATTAACAGCTCCATCTGCGGCTCAGTTCCCCAATTTCTCTAAAGCCTGTGGGTTCAATGATTTGCTAGCAGAGATTCAGACTCATAAGGGGAATAACTCACATCGACTATAGGTATGCAGGCTGGTTTTTTGTAGGAACTGGTGAGCAGTGGGCCTGGCTGGATGCAGCATGATGTTTAGGTCATCATAAACAATTTCTCAGTCTAGACAATCTCTCATCCTCCTTAGGCTTGGCCTAAGTTGACACAGTCATGCTGCCTCTCCTCTGTTGGTGTTTTCACACCCTCCACAGTGTGGAGAGTGCTTTAATTGATCCCACAGCTGTTGATGATTTGTGAGACCATATGTCCACAGTTAAGGTAGCTGGAGATCATTCCCCCAGTGAAGGCTAGGAAAGCCAATTATCAAGGTCTCTGATAGCACAAATCGGGCAAAACTAAAATAGAAATAATGAGAATGTTGACACAGTGTGAAGAATATAACACATGTCACTGAATAGGAGGTGTAAAATCTGTTGAATGGGAACCTGTATTGTTATGGATACACTTTAACCAAAAACACAAGGAATTATTTTTTTAAAAAAATGAATATAAAGAAAATTATACAGAAAAGGTTTTTTTAACAGTATCTTTTCTTTTTTTACTGTAATCATATATAAACTTTCTGGTTTTATCCTTAAAATACTTGGTATTTAAATGTTACGATGTTTACAACATTGCTTAAAAATACATTATCTTCTTCAATTTCCAGAACAAATCTATGAAAAATGGAGAGCTATTGTCCTGTTTCTAGATAATGAATATAAGGTTCAGAGCTTAAATGTCTGCCTACACTCTGAAGAGTGGAGAAGTGGATAGAAGAGATTATATATTGACTCCTGGCCCAGATATTTTCTCATCACTTTTCTAACCCACGGCAGGAAAATTCAAAGAGTCAGAAAAACAATTCATAAACAGACAGACTGAAGAATTAATACCAAAACAAAATAAAAGCATCCAGGGGTTCTAATGTCACTATGATGAAAGGAAAAGAACACTCTAAGATTTCTCCAGGCAAGAATATTTTTATGGTAAAGGTAAATAATAAATTAGATTCCCCTCCACAGAGAAACAGATCCGTTACCATCATCATATACCATTCAGAAAGCTTATGAGCTAAAGGAGAAGCAGCAGCATTGATATGACCAGTACCGCATGGAGCGGGCTGGACACTGCACAGCGTGACACTGTCCTCGAGTCCCTCACAGTCTCCAACAGTGACATTCCATCAACAGGCATCTGCAGAGTGCTCACCTGAGTGGAGTTCTGCCGAGGGAGAAACACAAAAGATCCTTATACTCAAAGCATTCCTAGTCTAGCCTGCATGCACACAGCAAATGCTTAAGTTATGTCATGTAAAGTGAATGCAAGAACTCCACAGCCAGCACAGCATTCAGCATCAATGAAGCCCAGTAAAAACCACTGTCACCAAACCACTCCAACTCATGGTGACCTTATATATGCCAGAGGTCTGGGCTTGTAAGGTTGTCAATGGTGTATGTGGGGGTAGAATGTCATGGTTTGCTTCCTTGGCAGCTCTGGGTCTACATGAACTTTGAATCTTTTGTTTAACAGCTGAATGTGCTTATTTACCATTTTCACCACCTATAAAGGGAAGAAAGGAAATACACAGTAACACCAAAGTGTTCTGACCAAGTCCAAAGTTGAGGTTACACTGAGACTTTCTAGTTATTAAAGACAGCCAGGCAGTCTGCAGGTGTGCAGGGGATGCTGCTCACTACTCAGGAGATGATCAGGGAGCATGTAACAGGAACGACAAAACTCCATGTACAAAGGGTTCACCGATGCAGCCAATCAGCTCAACACCGCACCAAAACCCTAAATTCAGGGCATCTCTTTTTTCTACCAGCATCCCCTGAACCAAAACTGGTACCCACTCATAAAATAAAAATGCTTGTTAATAAGAGAAGATAAAATCAAGAGAGTAAACTCCTACATAAGAGTATTTTACTAGCAGTGTGGGCAGTAGAAGAGTGTGGTAGGTCACGGTCATCAGCACAATGGTCATTTCGTCCCTGGGACAGCCCTTGCCTGTGGTGATGGTGGTTAACAAGATGAACAAAGATGCACAGATGAGAGCAACAATTAAAAGTAGGAGTATGCAATGAGGGTTGCAGAGTGGATTATATATGGGGGTGGGGGGTGTGGTTTGGGGAGGTGCGGGTGGGGGATTGTGTACCAATGAGGGAGTTTTTCTTTTGCTTTTCAAGGAGAGGAGCAAACGGGGAGCGGGTGCGGGGAGAAGGGTGCAACAATGAATTAATGGAATTCCAAAATCTCTGTAGATGTTTATTGAAATGAAAAATAAACAAACTAAATTATTTTTTTTAAAAAGTCGATAGAAACTGGAGAAAGAGAATGCCTCAAAGAACTACTGATTGAACGTGGCTGGAAGGACCCGTTGACAGAACCACTGTAAAGAGGTAAATAAAGAAAAAGGACTAGAACACGTCACTGTGGATGGCTTGGTGGCTGAACTCACTCCCTGTGGCAGAGCCTTGGTATCTGACAGTGTAAAGGAGGAGCTCCTACAGGGAATAAGAATATCCCTTCCTCAGCATGCCACCCTGGAAGATGGAATTAGATTGTGATATTCTGTGGTTTTATTTCTGAAAGTGAAACCTGCCATAAAGTAGAAATCAGTTCCCCAAAATAAAATCCTTTTTTGTATGATTGTATACAGTTTGTGGTAATGATGTATATGCATTGTATTGATTTTTCCTCCAGATATATTATTTTAATAAATATCTCATTAATTGAAAAAAATAATATTCTACTAAAATGGAAACAAAGGCTCTACAGTAGTGGTGTGTTGATCTCATGCTCTCCTTCACTTGCACCAGCAATTTATAAAAAAAAATTTATATGTATTTTCTACTTGTCTCTGGCGGTGTAGACCAGATGGAGGTATGCAGCTGACCCAAGGCCATGTCTTTCTGTTGGTTCAAATCCACCCCAGAAACTCAAGCGAGGGTCTGCCATGAGTTAGTTCCAATGCAACAGAAATAAGTTTGAGTTTTAAGATTTTGTATCTGTGACAATTCTGTTGGACTTACAAGAATGAAAGCTTAGTCTGTATCCTTTGGAGAGAAACACATGGTTTTGACTTTCTAAATTCAAAGGGTTTCCAGGGGGTACATGAGTAAATATTCAAGAAATCTGTTTCATCATCTAAGAATACTTCCTTTCTGATTGTCTCAAAGGCCACTGTGGGCATCAAATTTGGTAAGGAACATGAGAGGGCTCTAAAAACTGTAGAGCATTCTACAGATAAATGTTATTAAACTTCTGGGGCGCGCGCACACACACACACACACACACACACACACACACACACACTCACTCTCTCTCTCTCCCCCATTTGTTCCTGCCTCTGTTCCTGGGATATCTAGCATCCATATCTACCAAAATGAAAGAAAAGAGATTAACTCAAGCTCTAGGCAACCCCAAAACACTAGCATCTAGTAGTCATGTAAGAGAATAGAATGCAAGGCCAGGGTTTACATGTATTATCTCACACATGACAGATGCAAGAACCATCGAGGTTCCTTAACAGACGTCTCTGAAACAAAGGCATTACAGGGATCAGGAAATCAATTGCCAGAAGGACCTTCTCTGTCTCTAGTGTATAAAAACAAACTTACCTTAACTTCCTCCACACCTTGCAGCCTCAGCGTGGAAAGCAGGAGGAGCGAGCAGAGCCACGAGCAGAGAAGCAACCGGAACTGGGCCACCCAGAAGGAGATGATGGTATGGAGAAAGACCATGGCCACACCTGGGACCCCAAGCACACACCAGCAAGCCCACATTCCGTAGACCATGAGAATCCAGGGTCTGTGCTGCAGGCATAGACAGGGAGGAGTAGTGGGAGGAGAATAGAGAAAGGTGAGTTAATGGGAACTGCTATCAAGTAACCTAAACATACAAGGCAATGTTTAGTGATCCATAAGGCAAATTTCTTTGTTCACTGTCCTGGGACTTTAGAGAAAAAAAAAGCAAAAGGGATTCAAAGAGACACTGGTACATTAATTCCAGAGTGAATGCTGGCTAGACTAAAAGCAAGTAGTTATTCTTTTGCTTTCAGAAAAAAAGACAAGAAAAAGGGGGGGGAGACAAAAACAAAACAAAACCCAACGCTCTACAAAATATCCAGACCACTGAATACCACAGCCAGATAGCTATTGTTTCTGTAGACGCTATGGAAATCAGAGACAAAACAATGACATCTTTAAACATACATAGGAGAAGAAATGCTAACCTGGAACACTGTACCATATATGCATATCTAACATTAAAGTGAAACAAAATATTCGTATATATTTCTAGTGAATCATGTTGAAGTAAACCACCAAGTTATACTATACCTTCTAAGGTCTAAGTCAGAGATTTAAAATAAATTAGCTTCGTTTACAGAACTGTATCTTACACACTTTATTGATCTCCACATAATCAATCTTACTGATATCTTTATAACCATCTTAAGAGAACTGGAGATTATTTTTATTTTAAATTATCAAGTTATATAGTCATTAACTATATAGAGCTATGGTAGCTTAGGGGTAAAGAGTTGCACTGCCAACTTGAAGGCACATGCTTCAAATCCTCCAGAAGGTCTAAGATTCTCTTTCAGTTTCCCATGTGGCTTACTCCTCTGGAAATCCACTGGAAGGTCAGCTATGAGTCAGTTATGACTTGAATGTACATAACAACAACAACATAGTCATCAGCAGTGAATAATAAATATCTTTCCTTTGTCCATGTATACACATCCTTCTAGTTATCTTTCTATTTTTATAGCAATGGTCTTATGCAGTATTTGTCCTTATGGGACTGTGTTAGTTCACTCAGCATAATGCTTTCTAGCCACTCTCATGATGTACAGTATTTTCCAAAACCGTTGGTCCTAAGTGCTACATAATATTTTATCATGTGAAATTACCCTAATTTCTCAATCCATTCACTCATTAGATGAACATTTGGGCTATTTCCATTTTCTTGTTATTGCCAATAACACTCCTATAAACACTGATGTACAAGTTTCCATCTGTGTCTCAGTTCTATTTTTCTGGGGTTACCTTCCTAGCAGTGAAATATCTGGGGTGTATGGAATCCTTATATTCATCTTTTTGAGGAAATGCCTAATTGCCTTCCACAGTGGTTGTACCATTTTAATTGCCTCAGATTCTAGTCAAAATTGGATAGTGAATAAAGAAGACTGAAAAAGAGCTGGTGCCTTTGAATTGTGTGATGGTGAAGAATACTGAATATACTATGGACTACAAAAAGAACAAACAAATCTGTTGTAGAAAAAGTGTAGCCAGGGTGCTCCTTGGAAGCAAAGATGGTGAGACTGCAATTTATATATATAGTGGCCATGTTATCTGGAGAGGCCAGTTCTTGGATAAAGACATCATGCTTGGTAAAACAGAGGGTCCATGAAAAAGAGGAAGACCCTCAGTGAGTGGACTGGCCCAGTGGATAAAACAGCAGGTTTAAGCACTGAAGAGATTGGGAGGAGAGCTCAGGAATGGACATGCTTCATTCTGTTGCACACAGGTGGACTCCGCGGCACCTAACAACACTCCAAGTGGGGGCTGTGAAAAGTCACTAAGTTGATGCTATATTAAAACACTTTGCATGAAATCTACAAAATATTAGTTCTTCTTCCAGTATGATGTACTGGCAGGGTGCAATGAAAGATGTGGTTTCCAAGACATAACGAGATTTAAAAGGGAAAGACTGTCTCAATTTAGATATTCTTATGAATACAAAAGACTTCTTTCAAGAAAAGACGGGCATGGTATGTAAATCACAAGTGTCATCCTCAGACACTATCTCTCCAACAGAAATATTGTCCAGACACTAAGCCTACATTCCAACTCAAAATCTCGTGAGCCACTTTACATTCCAAGAGAACCAGCAAAGTCTGGAGTTCATTTTTATTATTTTTCCATCCTAATACCTGCAGAAAACAGTGACATAAATTTGCTTCAAACTTTTCCCCAAACACTGACTCCCTGGTCAAAGGCCAAAGAGGAGAAACAAGGTCACCACCAAATATTATCGTCACAGGCAGTTTTAGCAAGTAACAAAAAAAAAAAAGTTCCTTTCCAAAATGACCTGCAGGATTTACCATTTTAAATTCTTTTCTACATATTCATACATAGGGTTTTCAGAGACCTGCTATTTCAGAAGTGGATGACCAATCCTTCTTCCTAGTCTGCCTTAATCTGAATGTTCAGATTTAGAGAAGTATCCGACAGACAAGCATTTTACAGAAAAAGTGAAAGATATACTCCTTATTGTGGAATTAACCATTAGTTTCAGTGTTGTCCCTGCCCTTGGCACAAGTGTCTTTACCCACTTATTTCCCTGCTCCACCATCCACCAGGATATCCATCCACTTCTACCCACTCCCTTGAACATCGATCTCCCATTGTCGAGCCCTTGATCTGATACCTTATATCTGAATCTTCCTTGGCTTCTGTGATTCCAAACACATCAGCTGCTCATAGTTTCTTATGCTGTGACCAGTGTCTCCCGAGCGTCCACAGTCAACACTCTTGGCAACAGCAGCCAGGAAATTCAAAGACGTATTGCGATGGGAAAGTCTGCTGTTAGGGACCTCTCCAAAGTACTGAAGAGAAATCGTGTCTCTCTGGAAACTAAGGTGTGTCTGATACAGGCCATGGTCTTTGCAATCACTTGTTATGTGTCAGAGAGTTGGACAATGACCAAGGAGGATAGAAGGAGAATTAATGGCTTTGAGCTGTGGTGCTGGAGAGGAGTACTGAAAGTACTATGGACGGCTAAGAAAACAAACAGGTTCACCCTGGAAAGGGTTAAACTGGGCGGCTCCTTGGAGGCAAGGATTCTGAGGCTTCATCTGACATACTTTGGACATGTTGTTAGGAGGGACTGGTCCTTGGAGAGGGAGATCCTGCTTTGGAGGATAGAGGGACAGGACAGAAGAGGAAGGCCATCTATGAGGTAGACTGATTCAGTGACTGGGGTAATCGGGATGGGTGTATCGGAGACAGTGCAATTGGCACAGGACAAAGCAGAGTTTAGGGTTGTTGTACACAGGGTTGCTATGAGTCGCAAGCAACTCAATGGCACATAACAACAACAACAACATATGCATGGCTACAGACATAAACTTATTATGTATCTACATTTTTATTAAGCTTTATGTGATCCATTTGCAGGGAAGAATCTGTTTATCATTATTAATTTAGGAATTTACCACAGATTAAAGCAACTTCAACTTGGGAAAAGTCTAAAGAACCTTTAGAAAATGCTTAATCATGCTCCATCTACTTGAGAGAGTCATGATGAACTAGACTCAAAGTCTACCTTAAAACAGACAAAATTCACCATATTCCTCATTCATATTGGGTTTTATACAATCATTCTCATGCATTATGTTTTCTAAAATTAATCACCATTGGACTTTGCCCATCATTACCTTGTCTTGAAACACAATGTATACAACAAACTTTGTAAGCAAATCAATTAAAAAAAAAACCTACCTAAAAAAATTCTACAATAATGGTTTTATACAATATTTGTCCTTGTGGGGCTGAGTTAGTTCACTCAGCATAATGCTTTCCAGCCCCTCCCAAGTTAGGTAATAATTTACAAAATCATTGCTCCTGTATGCTGCATAGTATTCCATTGTGTGAATGTACCATAATTTCTCAGTCCATTCGTTTATGGTTGGACATCGGGGCTGTATCCATGTTCTCACAATGGTGAATAATGCTGTTATGAACACTGGTGTGCATATCTCCATGTGTGCTTCAGTTTTAATTTTCTTGGGGTATATTCTAAGTAGTAGAATAGCTAGGTCATATGAAATTTCTATGTTCAGCTTTTGGAGGAAGCACCAAACTGCCTTCCAGGGTGGTTGTACCATATAAAGTGGGGGGAAAGCAGAGGATGAGGATGTGCAGGCGGAGAGGGGATTAATCATGGAGTTGTACAATTTGATGGGTGGGGTGAGGGAAATTGGTAGAATATGTTCTGGAAAACAATGTATTCAAATTTTGTAAATAAATGAGAATAATAATAATTTCAACAAAATACTTTAAAAAATAGACACATTTGTCCTGTATTCTCTCTTCTTTTTCTATATTCCTCCTGCCAAGTACCACAGATACAAGCTGACACATATAATGCTGTTCTTTTCAAAAACATCACTGGAATTGCTCTCTTATTAATCTTCTGGTCTCTCCTAATCCTCAATGGGTGTTAACAATCATACTGTATCTACTGAGGGGAAGGAAACAATATGGATGATGAAGCACATACAGAAACGTGCTGTATAAATGTGTTATGTTGTTATGTGGCATCGAGTTGGACCATACTCAGAGCTGACCCTCAAGCAGATTTTCAGAGGCTGTAAATCACTGAGAAGATTGCTCATCTTTTTCCCTCAGAGAAGCTGGTGGGTTGAACCGAGTGCTCTTGGGTTAGCAGCACAATGCCTTACCACAGGGTCAGCAGAGCTCCCTGGTGGCATAAATCGGACTCTCATTACAATATTACTTTTCAAACATCTGTAAAAATGCAACCAGATTCCCAGCCCTCAAAACAGCACTGAAATCCTGATACAGCCTTGTTCTCTGATGGACATAAGAGGAAGGCAGTCTGTCCCCCTTCAAAGGCTTTTAGTCCCAATCAGCCCAGCCACTAACCGGCCAGCCCACTTGCTTAGAACTGGAAGAAGTCATCCCGAGAGGAGTCTAAGGGTGGAAGCAGGACACCATCTAGCAATACAGAGAGCACGGTGAGTAAGCTACTTCCTGGAAAGCATTGGGGTTTTTTCCAAGTTCTT